CTTTTACAAATTCAGATATTATAACAGACTGCGAAAATTCCGTTAAATTCCAACCTGTAGTTTTTGGACGAAATGGAAAATTGTCATCCTGTTCGTTACACAGAAGATACTTTGATGGCATTTGTTCTGGTGAACTTTACTGTATAACAGTCCACCTAGATTTTATGAATTTAAGCAAAATGCTAGATTTGCAGCAAGGTCTCATCAATTTACAATTGAAATGGCAAGATGAAACAGTAAGTTCTATGCTAGCAGTTTCTTCTCTAGTTTGTGGAATGCTCTTCCGGCTTTTTGCTTCCCAGTTAACGTTGATTTTCAAAAAATTAAATTCAATGTCAACCGTTAGCTTTTGTTTGCTTTATTCTTGTTCTTTTGTTGTTGTCTCTCCTTAATAGTATTTTATCATATTAACACTCAATAACCCTTTGCGTCTTAGTAGCTTTATTGGCTTGAAACGATTTATATATATATATATATATATATATATATATATATATATATATATATATATACATACATATGTGTGTATGTATGTATTTAAGTAGCAAATTTCTCTTTTAGGCATGTTTGATTAAATAAATTACAAACATTATGTCTGCTTATTTTTAGCATACTCCGTTCATATTCACGGATATTTTCGGTTCTCACCAGTCGAGGTGCAATTGAAATGCACCGAAACGAAATTGCATCTTTGTAGTGAGTAAACTGTTTTTGTCTATATGATAAAATTATAATATATCTTCATATATATATATATATATATATATATATACACCTATTATGCACACTCATACATTTGCAGACATTCTTTTTCACAAACTTCATTGCAATAGACCTTCTATGAACTCACATTAACCCTTCTAATAACACCGTTTCTTTTCATCTAATTGTTACCATTGTTCTTAGTAAATTGTATTCAAATTATTGGTGTTGGGTATTGCTGCTGGACTTAAATAAGGCGCTAAACACTTATATATAAAAAAATATATAAATATCTTTATTGTTCGTGTTGGGGTGATTGGGTAGAGTGAGGGAGAATCACAGAGGTTATGATTGTACACACAGGAACTGACAGCGGCAAATCTTTGGTAGAATTCTAGCCAGCCTCCCTGCCAAGCCAAGAATTGTACCTGTTTTATAACATTTGAACACCTACGAAACTTCGTGTGGCCACACCTCTTCTAGCATGCACCCATGCAAACACGTATTTCCTTTTGCTCAGGACACCTGTTCACCCTGTTTATTCAAGGCTCAGGACACTTTTGCATCCTGTTTATTTTAGCCACCGGGTGCATTTCCTGTTTATGCTATCACACATTCCGACTTTCTGATGCAACAGAAGTGAGGTCAAAGGTCTTCCTCAACCGATATCCAACATTAGATGTTATTTCCTAGTCTTGATAAAACAGCAAAGTTTCATTGGCCTTTTCTTTCTCCAGTTTGACCTCAGCTACAACATCACGTTCACTTTAGTCTAAATGGGTTTAGCAGTAAACACCTTCACTGTCAAAACAGAGCCAGCAACAATCAGCAGCCAAAACAACTGTCATTTCAAGTTGCCACCATGTTAGCTGAAAAACTACCATCTAGCCAAAAAAAGAAAGTCAGGCAGTAAATGAAGGTAAAAATTTTCAGAATATTTTTTACATCACAATAAACAGATGGAGAAAAAAATGTCACAAATATTCATTAGTGTCACCAGTTCAGACCTTTCCAGCTAGAACCTGCAATGCCACATACACAGAGTCGAATCATCCTCATTCCCTTTGTATTCCATTAATAAAAAAGTTCTACAGTTTTTTTCTCGAGAACAGTTACTCCTGAGAAGTAGCTTCCCTGATCATTTCAATCTTAACCTCTTTATTGAGGCTCAACTCTTATCCATTTTGCATACTGTCAAAATCTGCAAAGACATCATCCTGTTACATCAATAAAACCTCATTCAGTAACCATCTACATTGAGTGGCTCTTGGGCCTTGTATTGGAGGAACAAGAGTATAAACAAGTAATAACCTGACAAATTTGATGACAAAATATGCTCATGCAGTAATTATTTCTTAAGAAAAATAAGCAAGACTGAATATCCCCTGGCAACTATAATAACAATAATTAAATCATATAATAATTATAATTTGCCCAACTTCTTTTGCCATTCTTTAATATTACACTAAAATTTTTAGATGAAAAATGGAATATTGGAATCATTCACGTTCCAGCCTTGATAAATTTCAAAATTGGTTATGCAAGACTTGTGGGGTGTGACTTATTCCCCCACTCTGCAGCCTCTTTTCCACACAGACACAATGTTGCAAGCCAATCAGTACTCTGTCACTATTTCCATGGCAAATGTTCCAAGGAGCTCTATTCTTTAGTTCCACCAGTTCAGATCATTACAACTCGGGCACACCATGCTACGTTCACAGAGTCAAATCACATTTCCTCTACTCCTTTTGTAAGGAGAAAGTTCCACTCTGACATCTCTTTTGCCAAAAATTGCAACTTTGTGATATGGACTCCCACGTGGGTGCTTCCTTAAACATTCCATTCTTGACCTCCTCAAGCATCAATTGTCATCTATCCTCATTTCCTACCAAATCACATTTATCAGAACCATTTTAACAGTAAGCCTCTACCTTGAGTGGCTTTGAGATCCTGCAAAAAAAGTTAAAATTAGTATAAAAGTTAGTTGACATCAAGTGACAGCCTGCTGAAAAAATTGGAATTTAAATAAGTCATTTGTTATATAAGAGATATTTTCTGTTTGTTTTCAATAAATTTCAGTGAAATGATGACCATTGTGAAATTAGACTTATAGATTAGACTATGTATACCAATTTTTGTCCTTGGGTTGCAACTGTTATTTCCTATTTGATTACATCTAAAAAGTATGAAAAATGGCTAATATTCCCTTCAAATTTTGCTTTTGCCACCAGGATAATGATATTTCGAAAACTTACCTATCTCCATTTGGGTAACTGGCGGATATGAACTTTTGTTTGCAGAGTAGGAATATAATGATTCAAAAGAAACATTTATAGAAATAGTGAAATGCATCTTGGATGCTTACAACCTCTTAATGCTGTGACAAATGCATCTATCAATGCACTGTTGAGCTTACGTTCCCTGTAATTATGCTGCCTTACAAGAACATTCTAGCAATTCTTGAAACTTCTAGAAAGTTGTAGAAAATATTCCTTCAGCAACTCAACACGGAATCTGTCTAGAACGAAATGGAAAATAGGTTAGTTTCAAAATATCGATGTCTAGGTCACAGAAGTAATGTTTGAAGATAATAATAGTCATTTCCTTTGCTTTCGAGACAGAAGCAATTAGGAAATAACATTTTTTTAAGCATTTCACCCCAAGCAAGGCAGGAGTGCCGCTAACACACAAGGAGTTACAGAGAGAGAAAGTAAGAGTTAAGAGGAGTATTTGAGGAAAGGATAAGAAGATATTGATTGACATTATATTTAAATATTTGAAGATTATAATTAGGAAAGCAAGTAAGAGGAAGGGAGTTCCACTGTCGGGAAGTGCGAGAGAAGCTGTTGGAGTAGAAGAGGCTGTTACATTTAACTGTTTCAACAATAAAAGGGTGGGACCTAGATGCTAACCTAGTAGTACCCTTAAATTCATGCAGTTGGGGCACTAGTGAAAATAGCTCATCAGAGCAGTTGCTATGAAAGTGACTGGAGTCGAGATGCCATGTTAGGACTTAGCACATTGCATATCTGTCTTTGGATTTTGTCGAGAACCTCAAGATGAACAGCGGGAGCAGCAAACCATATATGACTATAATATTCAATGCAAGGACAAATAGTAGATTTGTAGATTTGAAGGATGGACAAGAAAATACCTTCTGGCACGACACAAGGAACCAACTTTCTTTGCGGTGGATGTAGCTATCGCTTCAATGTAGTTGGGCCACCTCGGGTCAGTGGAAAACGTGATACCAACAAGATGCAGAGAGACGCTCTGATGAAGTTGAGCATCAGCCATGCTGATAGGAGGTAGGGAGGTTTTTCACTATGGTGGGTAAATGAGAGCAGTTTCGTTTTAGAGGCATTCAAATTTACAAGTCATTTCCTGCCCCAATCAACCACTGATCGGAGGTCCTTTTTGAGACCAATGGCCAGTTTAACTGTCAGCAATGCTGGATTTATTAGGTTGGTGCAAAAATAATGACGTAATAATGTTTTTTGACGTATTTTTTAACCTCAAAAAACGACATTCTTACGTCATTATTTTTGCACCAACCTAATACTATTGAGACAGGAGTAAATGGTAGTGTCATGTGCGTCGATTCCTACTTGAGAACTGATACTGACCAAAGACAAAAAAAAGTTAAAATTTTGTTACACAGTAATTGCTGGTTAGTGAGTTCAATCCTCATTGGATGCAGGGTTGTTATGTACTGATTTGGCAAAAAAAAAATAAATAAATAAATAAAAAACAACATACACAGGATTAAAAAAAAACATTAAAAAGTATCATTTATTCACGATTATTTCAAGGTCTGATGGCTCGTACACTGGCTCCGTATGTTCCGCCCAGAAGTTCTCAGGTAATTTTGATAAATCCACAGACTGGAAAGAATGGATTGAAGTATCGTTGAAAACCTCTGAGTTTTTGAAAGAGTTCGGTAAATTGATTTCATCCGTAATGGAATGGATCTGATAACTAGTCAAGGAGTTTAGCAAGAGAAACACAAGTGGCTAAAAAGAATATTTAAGTTTGAAAACAAAATTATTTTGGCTCTCCCAAACTTATCCCTGTGAGGCCCACCAAAAAAAAAAAAACTGTTTGTCATCATTAATTTGTACAATTGAAAAAATATCATAAAACAAGTCATCGTAAAGCAAGGAGCCTCTGCAAAGACAATTTTTCCATTAACAAATTTCTTTAAGACAATATGAATTTTGGTAAAAAAAAAAAAGAAAATATGAATAAAATATGAATAAAAAACAAAAAAAATATGAATTTTTTTTTTTTTTTTTTTTTTACAATATTAAAAAAAAGGATATTTTCCAAATATAGAAGTAATACCGCTTTAATAGTCGGTCGGGTGTTCTGAAAAAAATAAAACAGAATTAAAAAATGATTTTTTAAATTTTTCTTCTTTTTTTTTCAACAGGATCATTTGAATTTGTTCATCAAACCTTTCATTTTTATTTCTATAGTTTTCTTCTTGAATTCACTGCTTGATTTATTTTTAAATGCTAAATCTGTATTATAAAAAAATCTATATCCAGCAGCAAGACCTCTGAACAGGAAATCAGAGGTTTTGAAGAGCATAGTACCACCTCTTAATTACTGCTGTCCACCCTGACCCAAGGTGGTAGTATCCATTAAGATCCAACAATAGTGAACTCGCAAACAAAAATCAGAATACTAGAAAACTATAAAAAATACATTTTTATAGTAAAATTACCAACAATACATTTTAAAGCAAAATGGCCAATATATTTTTAAGGTAAAATGACAATCAATACAGCACTAAAAAAAAAGAATAAAGATAAATTTTAATAGTAAAATTACCAGCAATACATTTTATCATCTACAAACTATATATCTAAAAATTAAAATTAAAAATTAAAAAGAAATTAAAATTACAAAATAAAATGAAAAATTAAAATAAAAAAAAAAAAAAAAAATTCACCAGAAATACATTCTATCATTTACAAATTATATATCTAAAAATTTAAAAAATTAAAATAAAAAATAAAGAATAAAAAATAAAATTAAAATTACCAGCAATATATTTTATCATCTATGAACTAAAAAAAAAAAAAAAAAAATTACCAGCAATACATTTTATCATCTCCAAACTATATATCTAAATAAAGAAAAAAAAAAAAACATGTTTGCCTTCAAAGCATAAAATTGATTTTACAAAATATGTAGCAGAAACCATAAAACTGGCTACAAAATATCCAGATTTTGGCATTAAATAACCCATACAGATGTTGATATGCTGTTAAATAACCCATACAGATGTTGATATGCTGTTAAAGAAAATCAACCAACCAACATCTTATAAAAGGTTCTTTGTCCATCCCAAACTGTTTGCATGGAACTTTGCATACACATAAATGGGATTCCACCTTAAATCAACCAATGGCCACAGGTGACCCTCTCAGAAAAAATCTAGGAAGATTCACAGGAGTTCCTTAATTAAATTTATTGATAAAACCCAAATATTAGATCCTTATCTTTCAGTAGTTTTGAAATTTCACTGCATCTTGCTAAATGAGTTAAGTGAAAAAAAGAAAGGAAAGAAAGAGTGAAAGAAAGAAAAGAAGAATGAATGAGTGAAAAGTATTTGAAAGAATATGTGCAATGCATTGCTTTTCAAGGGAAACTTTAATTGCGTCCATTGGACGCACAGATGTAAAAGTTACTGCGTGCTTTAAGATTTGTATGTGTCAGGGATGCAGGATGCACACCTATCGGTTTCTCTGCACTTCTGCTTTCTTCAGCAGTTTTAAGAATCTGGCAATTTAAAACAGAACCATTTATTCAACCCTGAAAGTCTTATTCTGATATCTAATCTAAGGGCAGATAACTCATGCCAACCGATTTGGTTCAATTCTTTGGTCAGGCTATTAAAGTCATATCTACTTGGTTCTTTGATAAAAAAAAAAAAAAAAAAAAAAAACATATCCTTCAAACACAATAACTCAGGGGATTGCATTTTTTTTTCAGTCAATTTCCGTTTTTATTTAACATTGACCTCATTCTCATGACCAAAAGTTGTTGTAGGGTCGATACACAGCTGAGCACCTGACCTTTTCCATTCCCACCCATTACACATATGGGTTGAAAGCTGAAGAGGTATTCATCCATGTTCAGCATACTTTGAGCAAGTCAGCATGGTAGAACCTATCTCTGTCCAGGTCAAACCACAGCTGATATCCCCTAAATTAAAAGCTTACTTTGGCCATAGACATGTGGCCATTGATTCCATTAGTGCGAACTATCCCTACTGGCCATTGACTTCAGTTGAGGAAGCCTTCCACCTAGCAAGGGTGTGTCCATATAAAGAAGGTTAATCTGCCCTTTGTTTTTAATCTTGTTAGGTATTTAGCCACTCTCATCATCCGAAAAGCCTGGTGAGGGGGAACAGTTTAGTTGCTGATGACCAGACCAGTGTTATAGGTAGCTTATTTAATAAATGACTAAAAGTACTGAAATTTCTGGGATGAGGTGTTATCATCAGTGACATGTGGACTATTGTTTTCATCTTTGTTGTTGTTATCACGACATTTTGACTCTCGTGCCTACCAGCCTTCATCAGAGGTAAGTCGATCCAGGTAACATTCAAGGAATTCTAAACTAAAGGTAAGTAAGAATGCATTGTCTTTGTGTTAGGAATATTGTGGTATGTTTGGGTCAATGTTTTTGGCTAGCAAAGTTTAACATTAAGACAGAAGAAGTTGTTTTCCCCCCATTCGTCATTTTGGTCCTGTCCCACATTTTCTGTAAATAAGCAGAAATAAATATAGTTCTTCACTATGGTATGCAGACTTCATGAATTTCAGTGCAGTAATAGATTAACAACAAGGTGTCATCAGTTTACAGTTGGTTAGATGTAATCGTAAATTCTATGCTAACAGTTTCTTTTCTCACACTTCTCGCTTGTGGAACACTCTACTGGCTCCATGTTTTCCAGCCAACCTTGATTGTCAAAAATTTAAATGCAATATCAATTGTTATCTATTGTCTTCCTGATCACTCTTCTATTGTTCTCATTTATTAAGGTTTCTTGTTTTTTCTTATTCTTTCACTTGGTAACTCTATTGTGTCTTAGTGGCTTTATTGCCTTGGATGAGATGAAATGATTTAAAAAAAGAGATGATAGCTGAAAGATTAATGAAGAAATAACTGATATCTGTTCTAGCAATGGACAGAGGATAATCTATAGCCATTGATTTGGATAGAGTGAATTTAATTTTAAAAAAAAATTGCTAGTTTCATGTATAGTAACTAATAATTTTGCAGCTACGAAATTTATCCAATAAACAAAGCTAACACTTAGAATGGGTACTTATGTTTTATAGATGATGTAAAAGCATTTGACAAAATACAGCACAAGGATCCGTTTAAACTGCTGGGAAAACTCAGTCTATTTGAAAAAGATGCTAGAACAATCCAGAAGTTGGGAGCAAACCACCTGCATATAGATAAAAGATGAATTCAATAAAACACAAAAATAGAAATGGGCATAAGACAAGGGTGGGTCTTCTCCCCAGATTTATTCAACCTCTATAGTGACGCAATCCTAAGGGAACTGGAGACCCTACAAGGACTTGTTGTTATCGGTGGGCATAATCTTAACAATATAAGATATGCAGATGACACTGAGTTGATGGCAGACTTGGAAAGAAAACTACAAGACCTCCGAGACGAGGTAGTAAAGGAAAGCAAGAAGAAAGGACTAACCATCAACTGCAAGAAAACAGAAAATGTGTTCATCAGTAAGACAAAAAGCGGAAAAGCACAAATTGTGTGTTACGAGCCAGAGATGCCAACAACAAGCAAGTACAGAAGTTTAGACATCTGGGAAGTATTTTAACAGATGGAAAATGCAACGCTGAAGCCTGAATTGGCATTGGACAAACGAATGATGCCTTCTGAAAACTAATCAAAGTGCTAAGAAACTGACAGATTTTGTTAGTGAGAAAAGAGTGCTGGATTGCTATGCAATATTTATCCTCTTATATGGTAGCGAATAATAAACAATCTTGTCACAGAGGAGGAAAAAAACTAGAGGCAGCATTAAAGGGTTTCTACAGAAGGATACTCAGAATTCTTTGGACAGAGAAGATAAGAAACAAAGAAACCTTAAAGAAAATGGCAAAAGAACGAACATGTATACTCAAAATCAGGAAAAGACAATCGAAAATCCTTGGACATATAATAAGAAGGTGGGCTTGGATAACTTAACACTCACGTGAAAAAGCGAGTAAAGAACAAGGAAGCCTTAGAGAAAATCACAAGAGAAAGAATACTTCTACTCAGAATCAGGAAAAGACAGCTGAAATACATTGAACATATAATAAGGAAGGAGGGTTTGGAGAACTTAACTGTCACAGGAGAGAGCGAGTAAGCAACAAGGAAGCCTTAAAGAAAAGGGTAAGGGAAAAATACTTCTACTCAGAATCAGGAAAAGGCAGTTGAAATTCATTGGAAACATGATTAGGAAGGAGGGCTTGGAGAACTTAACTGTCACAGGTTGGAATGAGTAAGCAACAAGGAAGCCTTAAAGAAAATGGCAAGTGAAAAAATACTTCTACTCAGAATCAGGAAAAGACAGCTGAAATACATTGAACATATAATGAGGAAGAAGGGCTTGGAGAACTTAACCATCACGGGACGGAGCGAATAAGCAACAAGGAAGCCTTAAAGAAAATGGCAAGAGAAAGAATACTTCTACTCAGAATCAGGAAGAGACAGCTGAAATTCATTGGAGACATGATGATGAAGGAGGGCTTGGAGAACTTTGCACTAACAGCAGATATTTAGATAGGGAAAGGTGGCAATCCACTTACCTGATAAGCTTGTATGAATATATAGTGGAAAGCAGGGATGAGAACCTTAAGCAAAGTAGGAAAACAAAGGGCCACATGATAGGAAGTTGTGGAGATCCTGAAGAAACACAGCACATAGAATGGCAGAATCAGTTATTTTTGTATAATAAGGGAGGTAATTCGTGCAACGAACAAGGGAGATAACAACTTGTCTGAGTGCTTTGAATTTTCATTGTTAGTCTTTTTAACTTTTCTGCTAGGATTTAGTTTTCGGTGGGAATAATCTTAATAATCATACTTATTATAAAACCCAGGTTGTGTGTGTGTGTCTGTACTTTTTTATATTGGATCGGATTTCCTACATTTTTTCAACCAATTTCAACAAAACTTCAAAGGACTACGTAAAATTACCTTGCGGTGGTTCTGACAGTGCCAAAAATTGAATCAATGTGAAAACACAATTAAGAGGCATCGCGGGAATAAAAGGGGAACAACTCATATCGAGTTATACTTATTATAAAACCCAGGTTGTGTTTGTGTGTGTGTGTGTGTGTGTGTGTGTGTTCCTTTATATATGGGATTGAATTTCCTACATTTTTCAACTGATTTCAACAAAACTTCACTTTTTTTTTGGCAGGTAATGTTTCTTATAGTCTTGCACACTTTTTTCTTTATTTTTACATTCAGAATGCTTTAAAAATTCCATTTACAAGACAATTGTTTATAATAAAATTCTATTCAATCGGTAGACTCATAACGATTGAAAACAATGTTTTTTGTTTGAGTTTGGGTTTGACCAATTCATTAAAAAAAAAAAAAAAATAATTAAGACATGCGTGTCTGTCAACCTTAAACAATAATCTTTGTCAATTTTATTTTTCAGTCTTTATGATGGTGGATACTTGATCTATCTCTTACTGTTACATCCCCGGGCAACGCCGGGCTCTACTGCTAGTATAAGATATGCGGATGTGTTGATGGTTGTTGACGGTTAAAGTAGCTAGTAAGAAATCAGAATAAAAATGTCACTTCCAATGAGACTTGAACTCTTACCCCCTCTTTAGCCTATCTTAAGGATATTCCACTTAGACAGGTTCCTCTATAGAACTGCTACTTTCCAGGTATACTTCCCTAAACACTATAATCTTAACCACATCAAGTTATCAACAGCATAACAAGAACAACCTACCCCTGTAGATTAACTAAAGGGTTAACTTTGACATTCTCTTAAGGTTACCCTGATCAGCAGTCATCTTGTAATGTTTGAAGAGCACAACGGCCAAAAAGTTGTAATAACAAAAACATAGACGTGGACAATAGTCCACATGTAAATAATTAAATATTTTCTTATTAATTTTTTAACTAGTTTTATTTTATTATTGCTCAGTAAGGGGCACAAGTTCATGCCTTTTTAGAAAATACATCTCAATTCTAGTTTTAATTCAACTAATTTGCTTCATCTCATGTTTTCCAGTGACATGAAGTGGAGCAATTACAGTGAATCAATTGCTAGGTCTGCTGCTAGGAAAGTTGGTTCACTGTGCTGTGCAAGAGAATTTTTTTATCATCAGAATCCATCTTGAACATTTATAAATCTGCTATTCACCCGTGCATTGAATATTGCTGCCATATCGGGTCTACTGCTCCGGTTATATATCTCGAGATTCTTGACAAAATCCAAACAAGAAGAAGGGTCTGTAATGTTATCAGTCCTGATCTGGCAACTCATCTACAGTCACTTTCCCACCTCTGTGACGTGGCTTCCCTGCCTTTTCTATAAATATTTTTGTGGCAGTTGTTCTAACGAAATCTCTTTGATACCTCAACTGCATGAATTTAAACCTCCTGCTAGATTGGCAACTATATCTTATCATTTTACAGTTGCAATAGCTAAATGTAATTATTCTAATAATTTCTTTGCTTACACTTCTTCCCTATGGAACTCCCTTCTGATTTCTTGCTTCCCTGGCAACTACAATCTTCAAAAATTTAAATGCAATGTCATTCTCCATCTTCTGTCTTCCTGAACCATGTTCTTTTGTTGTCATTTCTCCTCATTAAAGTTTTCTCATTCTCTTTCACTCTCAGTAACCCCTTGTGTCTTAGTAGCTTTATCACCTTGGTATAATAATAGTATTCTCAACATCCTTCTGTAGAACCATATCTCTGTTGCTTTGAGGAAATTCTCTGTCATATAGGGGGATTGACATTGCATAACACTTCAGCACTCTTTTCTTTAAGATTTTCCTACTTCTTAATACTTTGTTTAGTTTTTGCAAAGCCATCTTTTGCTATACCAGTGTGCCTTCAGTTTTCAGTGTCACATTTTCTGTCATATGTTAAAACATTTCCAAGAAAAACTAATACCTTATTAAATCCTTACTTAAAACTGCCATATCTGGTCTGGGGTTCTTGCTGTACATGAAGATTTTTGACAAAATTCAAAGAAGCATCTAATGTAATTGACCTGGCATCTTGAATTCAGTCATTTTCTCACCAATGGGAAGTGGCTTCTCTATCTTTTCTGCAAATATTTTCATGGCAATTTTGCTCTGATGAGGTTTCTTCCTTGGTACCTTGACTGCATGAATTTAAGTGTGCTACTAGATTGGCAAACTAAGTCTCAACATTTTACTGTCGAGCTACCTATAGGTGCAACCGTATGTTCTATTCTAATAGTTTCTTTTCTCACAGTTTTTACCTGTGGAGCTTCTTTCTGATTTCTTGCTTCCCTGGCAACTACAATCTTCAAAAATTTAAATGCAATGCCAACTGCCATCTTCTGTCTTCCTGAAACCTGTTCTTTTATTCTCCTTTCTCCTCACTAAAGGCTTCACCTTTTCATTCTCCCAGTAACCCTTTACGTCTTAGTGGCATTATTGACTTGCTTCTGATTTCTTGCTTCCCTGCTACTTACAATCTTCAAAAATTTAAATGCACCATCAATCAGCATCTTTTGTCTTCCTGAATCCAGTTCTTTTGTTGCCATTCTCCTTACTAAAATCTTCTCATTATCTTTTGTGATGTCAACAAACACTCATTGCCACTTTTGTGATGTTAACGAATGCTCGTAGTAGTAGAGACTTTGCAATTGCAGATACAACTATAGCATGCTGTTGAACAATGTTGGTGTCAGACACATTCGAATAACACTTGCACTAACAGTACTTGCTCATTAGTACTCACTTGAATAGTAACGACTAAATAGTAATCCATATAGAGAATAGTGTAGAGAAGAGAATAGCAATCCGTATAGTAATAGAGGATAGACTAAAAATGGTGAACCAAATAATAATAGAGGATAGACTAGAAATAGCGATCAATTAAAAGTCAAGCTAATTCTTACTTATAAGTTACTTCTATGGTCACATGGTCTACTTAATTCAATAATGGTGTAGAATATTGGTTAGCTTGCCAGTGGTCTAACACACAAGTAGGCAAGTGTAGCCAAAGCTAATCAATGAGTCATTTCATGGAGAAATATATGGGTGAATAAAAACCACTCATGCAAATGTATTGGGCAGGTCCATTCTAGCAAAATGGACCAGCCTAACTGGTGTATTAGGCACTCTCCTATAAAATGAGGTAAAATCAGCTGGCTTGCTTTACACGGAAACAGAAGGCAGCCATGTTGGCAGGTAAGTCACTTGACTTCTATAAATGGGATCACTTGTATTTGCTCACTGGTGATTTATGTTCAAACCAAAGTGTTGACAGTGACACTTTATTCCTATGTAACATTATCTTTGGCTCTCAGTAACCCCTTGCATCTTAGAGGGTTTATACTTTGCTTGAGACAAAATGATTAAAAAAAAAACACTTTAAATAATGTTACATGCTTATATACAATTCTTTCATTTTCAAACATAATTCAAGACTAACCCTACCCACTCTGCAGATTTTTTCCAGCCCACGTTTATTAGATTTATTCCAAACACACCTCTTCAGAAAAAAAAAAAATCTCTAATACACAACTTCACAAACCACTTTTGATGTTTGATTTTGCACAGAACCTTATCCTCAAATCTCAAAATTACTCATTTTTTTTTTTTTTTTTTTTTTTTAAATAATTTACATTTAGAAGCCATCCATACCTTTCAACAAGACTGGAGAAACTGTTTCCAATGATGATGATGTTAGAAAGTTGCTGAGCTGACCAGTTGGCCCAGAGTAAATTATTGCACAATGCCTTTCCACAATGTGGCATGAAGAACAGTGTCCATTGCTTGTCTGTTCCACGATGCTTACCTTCCTGAAAAGAGTGATTAAAACATGAATTAAAAGTTAACCAAAAGTTTATTCTGACTAGCTAGGCACAGTGGAGTAATGGATAGAGGTTCGGATTGAGAAAATCAGAGAGCTGAGTGTGAATTCCAGTCGGATCCATTACATACACTTACGTGCTAATACCCTTGGGAAAGGTATGAATCCTCTTCTTCTCCTCCCCAGTTATTGGTAAATAGCAGGACAGATCAGGTTCTATAGGCTTGGATGGCAACTGGCCTACTGCAAAAAGAAATGGCAACCTACTGTGGGGAAAAAAATCTGCCTCGTCAGTCATGTATCGAAAGATACATGATCGTCTAAGTGTGTATCATGCATGGCATATAACTGACTGACATGCTAATACCCTTGGGAAAGGTATGAATCCTCTTCTTCTCCTCCCCAGTTATGGGTAAATAGCAGGACAGATCAGGTTCTATAGGCTTGGATGGCAACTGGCCTACTGCAAAAAGAAATGGCAACCTACTGTGGGGAAAAAAATCTGCCTCGTCAGTCATGTATCGAAAGATACATGATCGTCTAAGTGTGTATCATGCATGGCATATAACTGACTGACATGCTAATACCCTTGTGGAAGGTATGAATCCTCTTCTTCTTCCCCCAGCTATGTGGAAATAGCAGGACAGTATGGGTTCCATAGCCTTGGATGGCTACTGGTCTACCATAGAAAGAAATGGCAATCTACTGTGGGGAAAAAAAAATCTGCCTCGTTAGTCATGTATCGAAAGATACATGATCGCCTAAGCATGTAACACGCACGGCACATAACTGACTCTTTTGTACCAAATACAAAGGTGGTTTGGAATAGTCATACTAGTCAGCTTATTTAAAGTTATAAAATAAGTGTGCGGTTTCAAATAAACATGAGAGCATATGTTTGCAGACATGGCATGATTACTGGGACAAAAGAATTGTGCTGTAGAGAAATTAAAAAAAAAAATGTTTGCCATATCAAATATGCATTGTACCAGATAGAAAATTAACAAAAATTTATTTAGACTACCATATATATTTGAGTATAAACCTACTTCATGTGTAGTGTAACTCCGGAATTTTTTTTGTGTAAAACCTGATTTTTTTTCATATAGCTTGTGTATAATGGAACCTCCATCTTCTGAGCAATACTAGGAGGTCTATTGCAATACTGGACATCAATTAGAACCTATCTTATAGCAAATAAATTGTCTTTATTCTTTTTAGTACAAAGTTACCCAAAAATGGTGAGTAAAACCACTTACCGTAAAATATCTGAAACAAAGATCTAGATTTTTTTTTTTTTTTTTAAGCGTTTCACCCCAAGCAAGGCGGGAAGCCACTAGGACGCAAGGGGTTACAGGAAATAGCAAGATCAGATAGGAGTGATAGAAGAAAGGATGAGAGTAGTGGATAGATTAAGGCAATTGGAGATGTCGATTGACATTACATTTGAATAGCTGGAGATTATAGCTTACAGGGAAACAGGAGAAGGGAAGGGAGTTCCACAGGCGAGAGGTGAGAGACATGAAGCTATTAGAGTAGAAGAGACGGCTACATTTAGGAGTTTCGACAGTGAAGGGGTGAGAGCGAGATGCCAGTCTTGTAGGGCGCTGGAACTCATGACGTCTGGGAACCAGCGAATGCAGCTCCTCTGAGCAATTTCCATGAAAGTATTTGTAGAACAGACAGAGGGAGGTGACGGCGCGTCTGTGCGAAAGTGACTGATACCGTACTTTTGTTTTCATTCATGCATGATGACGTTAGATCCTTTACATTAGGCCTAATGAAAATGGACGCAAATTGGAGAAAGGAATAAAAAAAAAAACATTGTTAATTCTTCATTTGTATAAGGTATTTGTAGGCTTTTAGTGGCACACATAGTGAATGAGGTTCTGCTGTTCTTGTAGCAAGAGAAAGAAAGAATCTAGTCTCCAGGTGGCAGGCTAAATGAGCTTACCTGTAATGTTAAGGTTAGCCAAAGGTACTGTGAGAATGTAAAACTCCCAGGTAGGTTATGGTCATTGAAAATGCATGGATTTCAATCCCTCCAGAAAGAAAAAAATTACCTGTAAATAGTGCAACCAGTCACTGAAAATGAATGATCTTTAACCTTTTCAAAAATAATTACCTGTGCATAGAATGACCCCCCCCCACTCTATTTTTTGTATAAAAGCACCGATCATAAAAACATCTGTCTATATTTCTGAGGTATTGTAACTATTTACACTATTTACATTCTTCGGACAATTGTCCTCATCTTTATTGTGATATTCACAATGTTTTGGCCAGCCATTGTATGCTCAAGGACACATGGCTCAGCATTGATTGAAGTAATCAAACTTGACCCCAAAATCTCCTAAGCCGGCCAAGCATAGAAAAGAATATGATATGGGTGCCAGTAATACGAAGTGCTAGAGGAAAAAAATAACAGCAAAATTGCAATATGAGCTCTGATTAAAAACGATTACATTGAATTTTTATAGAACTTAAAAATTCATCCACTGATGTCGTCAAGGACACATGGCCCAGTGACTTGACCCAAAGAGTTGTGAGTTCAATATGTGGTTACTGCAGTGGTGAACAAAAACTTGGAGAATTGAGTTAAAAGTGAGATAAATGAGACATCTGGAAGAGGCATGGTATGTGGAAATAGAACAATCTACCCTAGTGGATGAAATAATTATATTCTCTTGTAAAAAATATTGTTCTTGTTCTTGTGTCTTTTATAATCTTGTAAATAAACAATTGAAGAAATAAAGTGTTTAACATTTTTGTTGTCAGTTCTTAGGGAAAAGATGTGCAAATCCTGTTTCATATGCTTCCATTTTATTAAAATTCTCAAAATAGTTTTTTTTAAAAAAATAAAAATTACTGACAGAGTGTACAGTGATAGTGTTAAGAGAAAAAAAACGTCCTTTTGACGTAATTTTTTTTTTTTACCTGGCCATATGTTAACAAATGTCCTACCGTTGATATCACACAAATACCTTGACCAACTTGGTATCTACGTTAATGACACACCCATTTATTCCAGCCTCAATAGTAAGGCTGATCAGTTCAACATGGTCAAAATGACATTGGATGTCGAAAACGACTTCAAGTGCATTAACTGGGGCAAAAGATGATTTGTTAATTTTAACACCTGCAAAACTAAACATCTCTCCAGTGATCATCTGAGAGACTTCTTGCTGCCTTCCATCAGCATGACTGATGCTAACCTCCAAGAAAGTGACTCAGTGCGTCTTCTCAGCTGGCATGAAGTGGAAAGACTATATTGAATCTATTGCTAAAAAGTTGTTTCATTGTGCTGTGTGAGACAATGTTTCTCTCGGATGCTCCTGCTATTTATCTTGAGCTCCTTGATAAAATCCAGAGAAGAATCAGCTATATTATCAGTCCTTAACTGGTAGCTCAGCTTCAGACACTTACCGACTGCTGTAAGGTTGCCTTCCTCTGTCTTTTCTATAAATACTTTCATGATAATTGTTCGGACAAGCTCTTCGCTATGGTACCTAGACTTCGTGAATTTAAGTGCAGTACTAGACTGGCATCAAGATCTCATCAATTGACAGTTGCGCTGGATAGATAGGCTAACAGTTTCTTTTCTTTCACTCCTCGCTTGTGGAACTCCCTTTCGGCTCCATGTTTTCCAGCCAACTTTAATCTGCAAAAATTTTAATTCAATTTAAATCACTCTCTACCAGCCTCCTGATTACTCTTTTCTTTTTCCATTCAATATTAATGTTCCTGTTCTTAACTCTCTCACACCCAGTAACACCTTGTGTCTTAGCAGTTTTACTGCCTTGCATGGGGTGAATTAAGAAAAAAGAAACTTACCTCATTGTGGCTTATAAGAGAAAATCCTAATTCTCTGATGGCAGATTTTTCAACAGCAGATAATTTTGGATCAAAGACCAGTACACGAGAACCAGGCAACTACAAATCAGATTTGAATGCAAAGTTAGAGTTTTAAATCTATATATATATATATATAGATAATATTAGTGGAAAATATACATACATATGCAAAATATATATAAAAAAATACCCATACATGTATATTTTCAGAAAAAAATTTTCCAAGAGGAAGAATCCAGGTAGAACTCAATGTCTAGGACAGAGTAAGGATATAATAAAAAGGCTTAAACACTAATATTCCATGGTCATAATTTATTCCATTGGAATCATAAATACGATCCAAATCATCAGACCTACAAATATATATATATATATATATATATATATATATATATATATATATATATATATATATACTACACAGAACCATCATATACCATTTAGCTATAAGGGAAAAGACTTGTTCCCTGTTGGATACAGGTTCAATTTCTGTCAGAGGATTTTCTATGAAATTTCTCAAACATTTATGCCTGTAGATGTTGTTAATACTGTTTATTATGAACAGAGCATTTAAATATTTGTATCTATAAAAAAAACTCTTTATTTCGTCCAGCGGGGTAGATTGTTTTAGTTCCATGTACCATGCCTCTTATGCACGTCTCAGTTATCTCCCTTTAATTCAACTCTCCACGTTTTTGTTCACCACTGTAGTAGTCATGTAGTAGTCATGTACTGAACTCACAACTCTTTGAGTCAAGTCACCGGATCCACTGTGCCATGTATCCTTGAGGACATCACTGTATGAGTTAAAGAGAGATAACTGAGACATCTGGAAGAGGCATGGCACATGGAACTAGAACAATCTATCTTAGTGGACAAAATAAAGGTCTCAGTTCGAAATTCCAGTCACCTGGAGGCTGGAGTGTACAACAGCCGAAACATCATGAATATGGCAATAAAGATGAGGAGAACAGTCCGAACAATGTAAATAATATCAATAATTACAATACTTCATCTCAGAAATAGAGACAGCTTTTATTTTAGTTTTAATTCCAAGCTAAAAGATTAAATTTAATAATGCCAATAAGCAAAATATTTTGATGTAGTTCAAACTGAATTTAAATTAATTGGAATTATTTTTTTCTTTGATTATAAGTAAAATTGTCCATATTAACAAATCTGTCAACACAATATAATTCTCTTTATTAAAAAATCTTTTAAAAATAAAATATAATTTTCTGAAACATTGAGAAAAACTAGGTTAGGTCAGGACCAATAACATTGTAAATTCTTCTTTGGATTTAAACAAGAATCTAAATGCATAGCAGAAGCATCGGACTAGCTGTGACAGCAATATTCAGTGCATAGGTGGATGGTAGACTTATAAATGAATAAGATAGATTCTAATGAGAGAAATTGCCTGGCATGACCCAGTGAACCAACTTTCCATGCGGCAGACCAAGCAGTTGATTCAATATAATCATTCAACTTGATGATATCAGAAAACAGAAGTCACTAAAATGCTATGTGTTACTAAATATAAAGAAGTTACTAAATATAAAGTTACTAAAGAACAAGAGAAATAGAAAAAATCATAACTAAGGAGAGAGAACAATAAACTAATATAGATCAAGAAGATGGAAGATAACAATTGACATTGTATTTAAATTTTTGAAAATCAAAGTTGATGGTAAAACAAGAGGCCAGAAGAGGATTGCACAACTGAGAAATGTGCAATAGAAGAAACTGTTACCATAGAACTTACGGTTACATCATGCCAATTCAACTACAAAATGCTTAGACCTTTCTGCCAATCTGGTACTGCTCTTAAATTCATGAAGTCTAGGTACCCTAGAGTTCACCAGAACAATTAATATAGATGTATTTATAGAAAAGGCGCAGGGAAGCTAAGTTAAAGCGGCGGAAAAGTGACTGAAACTGAGATACAAGGGCAGAACCAATAACATTGCAGATTCTTCTTTGGATTTTATTAAGAATCAATAAATATATAGCAGGAGCACCAGACCAGATGCGGCAGTAATATTCAGTGCATGGACGAGTGGTAGACTTATAAAGATGCAAGATAAATTATGATGAGAGAAACTGCCTGGCAAGACCCAGTGAACCAACTTTCCTTGTGGCAGACCTAGCAATTAATTCAATATTAATCTTTCCACTTCATGTCACTTCATAGAAATTAAATGAATGATTTAGGTATGTTTGTTTAATTTGTTGTTTACAGCTTTATCAAACCTTTGTGGGTTATTTAACCCTTTGAGCCCTGTGTTCCTGAACAATTTTAACCCTTTGAGCCCTGTGTTCCTGAACAATTTTAACCCTTCTGCCCGAGATCATGAGTCAAAATTTGCAAATAATTGGTATTAATGTTTTACGGTAAATATAAAAAAAGTTAAAGTGTTTACCCACCGTTCAACTGGTGGCTGGGTATTATGTCATTTTTCTCTACCACTGTTTAACCGGTGGCTGGGCATTACGTCATTTTTCTCTACCACTGTTTAACCGGTGACTGGGCATTACGTCATTTTTCTCCACCACTGTTTAACCGGTTGCTGGGCATTATGTCATTTTTCTCCACCACTGTTTAACCGGTTGCTGGGCATTATGTCATTTTTCTCCACCACTGTTTAACCGGTGGCTGGGCATTATGTCATTTTTCTCCACCACTGTTTAACCGGTGGCTGGGCTTTACGCCATTTTTCTCCACTACTGTTCAACCGGTGGCTGGGCATTACGTCATTTTTCTCTACCACTGTTTAACCGGTGGCTGGGCATTATGTCATTTTTCTCTACCACTGTTTAACCGGTGGCTGGGCATTATGTCATTTTTCTCTACCACTGTTTAACCGGTGGCTGGGCTTTACGTCATTTTTCTCTACCATCGGTAAAGCAGTGGTCAGGACTCGAAGGGTTAAAGCTGAAACATATCTTGGATTGTAAGAGTAATTCTTTATTGATTTTGCAAACAAATATTGCATTAAATAATTTTTTGAGAATAATGATTTTTCCAGATACAAGTCCTACTATTTAACGCATAGCTGGGGGGGGGATGAAGAAATGGATTCATGTTTTTTCCAATTGTATTTGTGCATATGTGAATGTAATGAACCCAACTGGAATCTGAACTTGGCCTTCTGATTTCTTGTTAAACCATCTGCATATCCACAAGAAAGATTCTTTTTTTTTAAATTTACAGAACACTTCTTGGCTGGCTGATATTATTAGATCGACAAGAGTTGTGGAATTTGATCTCAGCTCTCTGTTTTTTTTATTCTGAGCCACTATGATTTGGCTATGTATATCTTCATTTCTTGTACATATATACAGCAGAAAAAGATTAAAATGTGAGTGTCTTTATCTCACTGAACTCAGAATTGCAGAAATTAAAAAAAAAAAAAATGTAGGCGATTTGCATACTGCCTAATCCAGGGTTGCATAAAGACCTCATTAAAGCCAAAAACAAATTATGAATTACCTTTAATGTGTTTTGCAAAGCCAACATTAACGCTAACTGGTACCGTGCAATTATACATTCTGCAAAATTACCAATGCCATAAATGACCAGTTCCAAATTGGTCAGCGTTTTACAGTGATCAGTATCACAGCCAACAGCCTGAGGGTGGGGTCTGCACAAACACATTTCACTGGGGGATAATAGAAAGGAAGCAGTTTCAGCATTATCAGTTTTCGGAGTAATAACTTCCTGGTCATCAGCAGATTCTTGGATTGTCAGTGCTTGGAGATCGATGGTCGTAGATGAAGTCTGTCTATAAATGTTTGAAATACTTTCTTCCTTTGCAGGGTCAAATAATGTTTTTTTGAGATCAGGAGTTGAGTCGATGATGTACTCTTCATTTGAATCTCTTTCACCATTGTTGGTGAATAATGACTGGTGCCGGTCACATTTTAAGCCATGATGCAGCTTGACCAACAAAAGCTCTGAAAAAAAAAAAAAAATTAATAAATATCAACAACAAAAAATTTACATAAACGAAAAAAAAAATAGGGTACAGTTTTGGGTTATGTTATGACTTATCAACTTGTACAGGTATACCCCACCCTACATTGTTAATTGATTCCAGAGGCCATGACTTAGGTCAAAATAATCACTCTATAAACTGCAAATAAGGACTATCCATTACACCACAAGCACATCCAAGCTTACAGTACCTAGTATTCGCAAGTGGACACCCATCTCAATACTGACTAGGTTCGATATTGCTTAACTTGGGTGATCATATGCCGTAAATGTGAAATATTTAAAGAGGAATTTCCACAGGTATTTTATAGTTGTTGAAGTCGTAAGTAGCTTATTAATTTAAGAATTAAGATTCATTAGAAAATTCAAATAGAAAAACCATGAAATTTTCATGAGTATTCCTAATTATTATTATCATTATTATTATTCAAATAAAGAAAAGAAAAGAAAGGTATTGGTGCTAGTGAACCTACCACTAATTTTTTTTCTATTTAATTTTGTAGCAACTGATGAAATTCGCCCAACACTAATTGGTAATCCAGCAAAGAAGAAATTTGCCAATTGTCTTTGTGACATGACATGGAACAGCTGTGAAAGCAATTCAGCAAAATACTTTTTCTGATCATTTTATTTCTATCTAACGGTGCCAATAAGATGCTTTTGAAAACATAACCTGAGTGAGAGGGATGGACTTTCCATACAAAAAGAAAACAAAAGACACTGCTTGCTGTGCTGTTCTTCGTGGCCAAACAATAAAGGTCATGGGATTAAATTGTAGTTTCCCTACAAAGAGAGATGCAGGTACAATCCCTTCCTAGGAATGCATTTTCTTTACTGAGATTTCTCCACTGCACA